TTTGTTCCGTCAAGTTGGTCTCGGTGTTTGCGGGGGGGGGGGGGGGTGTAATTTGCCTGTTCCTCTAACACTCTCTCATAGGAGGAGATCTGGGAGGAGGAAGACTAACAGGTTTTATTTGGGTATCTTAATAAATTTATTTGCTGAGGTCTTACTTAGGTTTTGTATATACTTAATGTTCCCTTCCCCTAGAATCTCTGGGGTTTCTTCTGCCATATTACTGCAATGTAACTTTAACAGTAAGTAGTGGTGATTTATTTTAATATGGTACTGAAATCTCCATTTGTAAATAATCCAAGCTGCTGCTGTGTAAGTAGCTGATGAAATGTCTTTACTGGGTCTGCTGCGTATGAAAGAAACCACAACATTAGGCAATAAAAACTACTAACAGAATGTTACAAAACCGAGACCATGACAAAAAAGCAGCATGTTGCAAATCTATCATTTTTATTCTTGGGACAGATTTTATTATTTTTGGAACTATTACAAGACATGTTAAATATTGTGGATGATAAGAGGAAACAGACTCTTGGCAAACATGGAAAACCAATTACAGCGTATTACCCTATTCCCCTTCCAATAAAGGAGGGGCGAAGCTAAAAGTTTATTCTTTGCTTAGAAGCTGGAGGAGGGGGTGAGGGGAAATGTTCCTGCCTGAGGAAAGAGATTGTTGCTGCAGCAGTCTTACCACAGGCAATCCAAGCTGGAGAACGCAAACCCAGTGTGCTCTGCAGTCAATTTAACTCTAGTCTGCAGAAGTACACTATTGTCACAAGAGCCCTGATTGAAGAAATACTCTATGCTACCAGGTATACCGTTCACTTAAAAATAAATTTTAAAAAAAGTCTATGGTTGCAACCTTCACTACCGCAAATGTCCCTGTTGCGGTGATGAGGATTTCAAAAGACTTTTTTGGACAGGTGAACTGGGATAGGTATCTGCTATTTAGACACAGGATTCTCAGTGATGTCTGATGACAGGACAAGGGGCAATAGACACGAGCTGGAACACAGGAGGTTCCACAAAAACATTAGGAAAAACTTTTTCACTGTGAGGGTGACAGAGCACTGGCACAGGCTGCCCAGGGAGGTTGTGGAGTCTCCTTCTCTGGAGACATTCAAAACCCGCCTGGACGCGTTCCTGTGTGACCTACTGTAGGTGATCCTGCTCTGGCAGGGGGGCTGGACTAGATGATCTTTTGAGGTCCCTTCCAACCCCTGACATTCTGTGATTCTGTGTGACTGTGATTTAATTCCTACATCTCGTGGCTCTGTGTGACATAAAGGTGAAATAAGGTGTAGGAAAATCTGCTCAAAAGTTTATTTAGAATCCAGTCTACTACAATGTCTGTACATATTAGAGTTCTTGTCAAGTTGTCCATGGCAGTGTGAATGTAGATGAATCAATGCATCTACATGTTCTGTGTTGTGGTGTTATTTTTTTCTTCCCCCCACAGCATAGTTATGATTTTTTAAATTCCTTCTTTAAAGAGTCAGAGATATAAATGTTTATATTAGCCAGAATCTTGTTGATGGTTGGGACTACAGTACATTTGGTATAAATTATAGCAGGATCTAATTAGCCGTTCTTACTCAAGTGAAGCGCAGTACCATGTATCAGACTAACTGGAAACTGATTGTTTACTTTTTCTAGACCTAGACATAAAATACTGGAGGCAGGAAAATCCCAAAGTGGGAGGACAGCTCAAAAGCAACTGAAATACAGGTCTAACAATTGTCAATTTAACATTGTCCAGGTTAAAATAGTTAAGTAAACAGTAGGTTCTCCAACTGTGGCTTGGGAAACATTTTCAGATGCAGGAAATGTTGGAAATAATATGACTTACAAGACAAAGGTACTCAGGAAGACAAAAACCCATGGGGTTGCTTGTGGCCTCCCGTGAAGACGATGTGGGGAAAGGCCGTCAGTTTAACAAGCAGCTGAACACTGCCACCGACGTCTGGGAAGGTGTTGCGACTCGAGAACCGAAGCACTGGGCTGGCTGTGATGAAAGAACTTTTAAATTTGGACGTACTGTTGCTGGGTGTACGTTGGCAAGGCTAAGACCGAAGTGGAGGCAGCTTACAGACTTTGAGGACGTTTACACGCAGTTTTCAGGAGATGGGAACAGAAATGAAAGGGTGTGGGTCAAATTAACTTGGCAAATGCTGGCTAAAAAAATAACTGAATGCATATACGCCACCTCTCTGGGATTGTTGTGTGAAAATAGAGCA